TTGTCAGCAATTAATCAAATTTCTAAACAAATTATTTTAATTATATTTATGCAAAAATAAATAATATACCTATAATTTAATTACTCTTTAGTAAGCCTACAACACATCCCCGTCCCCTTTGAGTACTCTTTTGGATGACTTTTTAAGAAAAATGAATGAATGAATGAATTTAATTTGTTTTATAGTTGTTTCCGAAGTGAATCATTACATGCGTTTGTGGGAAGAGTTGGATCGATTAGGTTCGGGAGAAGCAAAGTTAGAGAATATTCACTTAAATTCATCCAAACCGATTAACATTGAAATTGATTATAAATGTAGTTTCAATGGATATTATGATAAAAAATTTGATCAGATGTCGGTTATAGGAACGGGTGGTTTTGGGACCGTATTGCGATCTTCTGATCTTCCGTAATCTGATGAAAAGTTATTTGCCGTCAAATGCATTAAATTTAATGGTAATATTTTTTATAAATAAATATTAGAAATATAAACTATATTTTTTCACAGATTTTGATGAAAAAGAAACCGAAAATGTAGTAAAAGAAGTAAAGCATTTGGAAAAAGTTAAGTCTGAATATGTTGTCCAATATTACCACTCATGGCGTGAAACCGGATGTCTTTACATACAAATGGAGTTCTGTTCCAATAGTCTGCAGAATATTCTTGAATTAAAACCACAAGTATTTGAGAGACAAGCGGGAGATCCCATGGATTTATACGAGTATTTCATTTCGTGTGATATATTCCGTCAGATCTTAGAATGCGTTCAATATTTACATGAATTGAATCCTCCGGTCATTCATAGAGACCTCAAACCAGAAAACATATTAATTGCATCCAACGTAAGGAACGGCAGGTTTTTGAAGTTATGTGACTTTGGTTTGGCTACAGTTCACGACAAACGCATTCACTACAGGACTACACGTAAACATACGGCAGATATCGGGGACATGAGATACCAGGCGCCGGAAGTTGGTCAGGGTAAAAAATATGGCCATAAATCAGACATTTATAGCCTGGCACTAATTGGTGGTGATATATTTGACGTGGACGTGTCACTTATTGATTTAGATAGGTTTGGCATTTTTTTAATGTTACTTTTCAAAATGAAAATATGTTTTTTAATTTAGTTCACAACCGTATTCAACAACACATGCAGTCATAAACTCGTCGGTAATTCAGTTACAAACTCTATTCGAGTCAATGGTGACCCACAAGTGGCCTAAACGCTCGGAATGTAGTGAAGTGTTGCAGAAATATAACGAGTGGTCTATCAATAGGAATATTGTGGCAAACGATACAGAATTTGAGTCCACATTAAATAGACTGAAATCCAATGAAAACTCATTTTTCTATCAATTTTTAACGACTATTATTAGACACAAAGACTGATAAAGTCTAAACTAGTTGACACATGGGATCACCTAGTGCCATAGGGCGAGGGGTGGTGTCGACACCCAGTAGTCTAAATGGAGGATGTTTCTCGGTCTATGGGATAATTAACCAGCTCTCCAGGTCAATTTTATTAGCTAATCTTGTAGAGGACATTAAAATATATAATATATGTAAAAATAAGCAACTTTCATAGAACGGTTTAGCCGCTAGGGGGATTTAAATAAGTAAAAATCGGTGTTTATTTTATTAAATGTCAACCGATTTTAACAAATATCTTGTAGAGGACATTAAAATATATAATATATGTAAAAATAAGCAACTTTCATAGAACGGTTTAGCCGCTAGGGGGATTTAAATAAGTAAAAATCGGTGTTTATTTTATTAAATGTCAACCGATTTTTAAAAATGAAATTATTTTTCTGACTAATTCAAACATGAGGATTTCAAATAAATTATTAAATCTATATTGAATTGATGTATCACATGAGCAAATTTATTATGAAATTTTTACCCGATAAATGTGGTTACTGTGCCCGAACCCAAGGTCACAGGACAATATAAATTACAAATTCGGACTCCTCGTCAAAAGTTCTATAAGAATTGTTCATAATATCAGTTGTAATAAAAAACGGACTATATGACAAATATGTTGGTTAATGGATATGCATTCTTCTTTGTTAGGTTTTGTTATTCTGTTCCCAACACTGAGTTTAACCTTGGCCAAATAAATGACATTGCTTTAAATTTGTAACTTTTATGACATAAATGTCACATAAATATGGTTTTTTATTCATATAAATAACGCACCCAATTAAATATATTTTTGAAATTTATGTTAAATAAATTGCATTTAAATTATAAATAAAGTCTTTTCTAAGTTGTAGTAACATGTCGTTCGGCTCGTCAAATATCAACACAATTCATATAACTTTAACTTTAATCATATTATCAAGAAGTCGACCCGTAGACCACCTGATCCGCGGTCTCGATCATGACATGGGGCAAGGTGAGTGTCTGTCCACCACATGAACCGCCTAACCCGGACTGGAGGGCCTGATCTCCGTTCCCACGGGAGGTTCCCCGGAAAGTTATATAAGAATTAATAATTATTTTATGGGTGCCAGCTTAGGTCAAATTCAAACGTGTTCTTTGTAAAATTTATCGTTATTTTTAAATTTTATTAAATAAATAATAATTTATTTGAAATCCTCATGTTTGAATTAGTCAGAAAAATAATTTCATTTGTTAAAATCGGTTGACATTTAATAAAATAAACACCGATTTTTACTTATTTAAATCCCCCTAGCGGCTAAACCGTTCTATGAAAGTTGCTTATTTTTACATATATTATATATTTTAATGTCCTC